ATTTAAATAGTTACACGTGACCAGTGGCTACTGAACTAGACAGAGGAACACTATAATCTCTCTCATTCACTCTCATGGCTTAGTTATAATCTCTATTCCCAAGGACTGAGTCAAAAATTTATGCTCAACAAAGTCACCTGGATGTGTTCCACCTGCACCTCAAACTCCAAAATATAATCATTCAACTCTACCATCGAACCCTCCCTTTTCTTACCCCAAATATTCTTCCTCTCCAACAACCTTAGGTCTATGACTAGAGTCCATCATCTAAGTCATCTGATCTTGATTTTAGTCCTTGTTATCTCTCTATTTCTCTCTGCTTGTTCTCTATCTCTCTCTCATATCTAAGCAGATGTCTATGCTCTTGAGTATACCTAATTGACTTCCCTGCCTCCATTGCAATATGTACAATAAGCATAATGTTCCTGTCTGGAAACATTCAAATGGTTAACTTTTGTAGCCTTGCCTTTTTCAAAAATATTATACTAAAGATATCATTCCCTAGTGCCCACAAATAAAGTCTAAATTCCCTAGGATAGTACAGCAATCAACACTATACAACCTGGCCCAGGGTGTCTTTCTAGCCTTGCCTTCTACTTCTACCTCTTAAGCCCCTACTGTCTAGCCAAAAATGATGCCTTACCACCCTCCTACATCCTGTCACATCTCTGCTCATGCTCTTCTATACTCCTTAAATATCCTCTGACTCTTGTTCAAATCATAACCATTCTTCAAAGTTCACTCAAGTTCCACATTTTCTATGACATTTCTCAGATCTCCACTGTTCCCCACTAAAAACTAATCTTGTTTTTTCTGAATTCCCATTGCAGTTTTGGTTTGTTGAGACATTTTCTCACTCTTCTTGCCTAGGCTGGAGTGCAATAATGTGATCCTAACTCACTGCAGCAACGAATTCCTGAGCTCAGGTGAGCCTCCTGTCTCAGCTTCTCAAATAGCTAAGAGTATAGGTGCATGCTACCATGCCCAGCTGATTTTTTTTTTTTTAAGATGGGGTCTCAATATGTTGCCCAGGCTGGTCTCAAACTACTGCCCTCAAGCAATTGTACTGCCTCTGTCTCCCAAAGTGCTAGGATTACAAGTGTGAGCCACTGCACCCAGCCTTCTATTGCACTTTATAACTGTACTACTTTAATGACAATAATCAATTTCTACTTTGTTCTATCACCCAGACAAGAGTGCAGTGGTATCATCATAGCTCACTGCAATTTCCAACTTCTGGCTCAAGCAGTCCTCCTGAGTAGCTGGGACTATAGGCATGCACCACCACACCCAGCTATACCACAAGCTTTTTTAAGATATATATCATGTGTCAGATATCTTTCTACCTAAAAATAGGGAAAATGATCGATATAAATTAGGCACATAGGCCAGACACTGTGGCTCATGCCTATAATGCTAGCACTCTAGGACATGAGGTGGGTAGATTGCCTGAGCTCACGAGTTCAAGACCAGCCTAAGCAAGACCCCATCTCTACTAAAAATGGAAAAATTAGCCATGTGTTGCAGTGTGCACCTGCAGTCCCACCTAGTTGGGAGGCTGAGCCAGGAGAATAACTAAAACCCTGGAGTTTAAGGTTCCTGTGAGCTATGATGCCACAGCATTCTACCCAGGGCAACAGAGTGAGACTCTTGTCCAAAGAAAAAAAGGAAAGAAAGGAAAAGAAAAAGAAAGAAAGAAAGAAAGAAAGAAAGAAAGATAGACACGTAATAAATATTATCTTATTATTAGAACTTTCAATAACCTAAAGCATGACATTATCTATGTGATTTTTATCAACAGCACACAAGTGTTTTGGGCACACACAATTCCCCAAATTGCCCTAAATATAAGCTTATAAATACTGAAAAATGGTCTTCATATACTAGTCATGTACTATCAGTATAATGAATAAAAGTGTGGCTGATCTATTATGTCTCCTATGGAAATAAAGGAGATTTCCTGTCTTAAATATAGTACTTTGCATCAACAGGAAACTGATATTTCAGAGGCTCATGGTTTAGATACAATTCAAATTAGGGAAGTAACAAATTGCTCAATGATAATAACAGCTACCATTTATTGAACACTTATGAGTACGTCAGACTCTGTTCTAAACATTTGACATGTATTGTCACATTTAATTTTTATGAAATTTTATGAGATTGGTAGGAGTACTATTATCATTCCCATTTTACATATTTTTAGATAGGCATAAAAGGCAGATTGCATATCTTAATAAAAAAATTATATACTGTAGTGTTAGCAGATGGGTGGAAGATATACTTGTGACAGAGCAATTACATGGAAGTTACTGAGATCTACACCTACTTTGGTTAACTAGATATGGACCTCACTGATTCTCAATGTTCCCACTGGTCCTTATCTACCTGGTAGTTCTAAGAATCCAATAAAATAATAGGCGTGAAAACAAGCATAAAGAGCAATGGACTTGAGGCCAAGGGACCTGAAATCTAGTCTCTGCTCTGACCTTTACTAGACGTGAGGCTTTGTGCAAATAGATTGCACAGCTTCTCTGAGCCACACTCATTCTTAGGACAAGTATGGAAAACCTACTAATGTACCAGACCTTCTGGTAGGTGTTAGGGATACAGAGTGCACGCGACAGACACAGTCTCCTGTCCTCACAGAATTCAGTGGGGGTTACAAATATCTCTTAAAGGTCAAGGGACACTTCTCAAAAGGAAATGCCTTCCACGCTGAGACTAAAAGATGAGTAGGAATAAGTCCAACAAAGAAATAGAGATCCAGGCAGAGGGAACAAGGCTTGAAGACTTGAGCATAGAGGGCAAGTGCTAATATTTTAATAGTAGATTCTAGTGTAAAGAGGATTTTTTAAAAGCATGTATGAGAGATCTTTCCGTATAATTTCTTACAACTGCATGTGAATCTGTAATTATTTCAATGCAAACTTTGATCACAAAAAGTGTATCTGAGAATATACTATAAACAGAGATGAGAACAAAGCAGAAGGAGTTGTTATAATGAAAATAGAACTACTAAGGATATTCAGTGACCATATTTCGATAGACAGCCACAATTTAGAAAATCACAATTCAGTACCTTTCACATCAGGTCGATACTGTAGTCCATCATCTTTCTTTCCCAGCAAACTTGTGTCATCAGTATCTGTAAGAAAAAGCCATTTTCAAATTAAGATACATACAATGTTTAAGTCACACTAATAATTGTGCGAAATTATTCCAGGTTTTTCTTAACTCTCTATCCACTATCCTGCTCACATTTTCCACCAATCTCTTGATCAATTGTACCATTTCTGTCTTAAGCCTCAAAGCATGTTAGGTATATAACCTTTTTGCATGATGAACGGTGTAATTTCATTTGGACTTCAGCTCAACAAATCCAACAAATCATTGTTAAACTTTTAAAGAGTTTTTCCTATATAAACTAAAAGAGTTTTAAGGAAAACTCTTTCTCTAAAAATAACTGTTGAATGATTTACCTTCTCCTACCACTGTTTCCCTGGAAACATGAGATTAAGACAAATGTAGAATCTTAGCTGTGTTATCAAACAACATTTAGTATTAAAAAATGACCCATCATATTAAATAGATTCTATTTTTTTAAAAATGATCATAATTTGTGAATTGCATCTAGACTGGGAAGACTTTGTAAATGAACCACAAATATCCTTGGAAAAATATAAGCTTCCCAATACCTGGGGGCTTCAGGGGGCACAAAAGGAAAGTACAGTTAGGTGGGGATGGAAAAGTATAGAAGGGATTAAATAAAACGTAAAGGTCAACCACTCCACCAAAGGAGTTAGAATCTGCGTGAATTTTAATTAAAATTCTCAAGCTTGGCCTAGTGTTCTGAACTTGATTCCAGGGAGTATCATTCCAGTTCCTCAGAGAAGATTTTTTTTTTTTTAAGCTATTCTCTCCACCTAAACTCTAAATACTACCTCATGAAAGACAAACAAACCATACTTCAAGATTAAAGCAAAGTGCAACAGGGATCTACCTATAAGGGATTCCTGTTGGCAAGTGGTTTCCTCTCTCGTGACCACACCCAATCCCTTCCTAAAATTCCTCTGATGAGCTTCTCGGGTATCCTGTGGTGGCTTAGACCAAAGGTGCTGCAATCTGTTGTGCAGTATGTCATGGATAATCAGTTACCAATACAAAGTACCAAACTTTGCCTAACAACCTTTATCCAAAGGAGCAGGTAAGCAAGAGAAGTGTACAATCCTAGTCCATGAGAATGCACCTGCTCCACATGCGTCACAAGGGAAATGATCCACTTGCTCAGTGGAAATTACTGAGGAAAGAAAATTGAGAACCTCTGGCTACAGAAACTGGGTATTGCTACTAGGGGTCAAAAGTAAAAAAATTTATTCTTACATAGTACTAAGGCTTCTAAACCATAACAAAAAGCAAGAAAGGCGCAAAGAATTTTAAATCAAAGGTAATCATTCTCCTACATTCTGTAATGCTACACCACTGAAATCTTTGATGGCATATTGTATATACAGCCAAAAAAACCAAAGAGATAATGTGAAGACAAAGTAAATTATTATGCTCGAGAAAAAAACTTTCAGAAATATGTGGCAACACTAATAGATACATAGTTTTACTGTCATTAATGTAAGTTAACTCTTAAATAGCTAAAATCATGACAAATTTAAAATCATCTTAGAACTGTAAATAAAACTATAATTTCATGTTAGGATCAGCTTAGTAATTAAACAAACAAGAATCATGGCTTTATGTCTTGAGAAGATGAAAATAAGTGAAAAAATATCAAAATTAATAACAAATGAAATTCTGAAACATGAAGTAAGAAAAGAAAAGAACGCTTCAAAGGTTTCTGATTTTACAAATTTGGAATACTACCAAAATATAAAAATAAGGTTATAGACTTATAATAGTAAAGACAGGTCTCTGAATGAGTTGAATGATTTTACCTGTGCAGTGGCCAAGATGCCTTATATCTATTTGTTCTTGCTTTATACAAGATGCTTCTCGAACAAAACATGGATTGTTATATGAACTCCCATCAGAAGCACACACAGGATTAAAACTGTATCCACTGCAATCTATATTACATACACACCTGTGGAAAAAGACAAAAATTACCTATTTTTACAGCAAAAGTATTTTATAACATTGCAACAGAAAAAAAAGGCCAATTATCTCCTTTCTCTGTGCTTTCTGTAATAGAAATCCATGTATTATTTTAAGTCACTGGTGAAAGATTAAGCTCAGCTAAAAATGTCTTCCAGATTAGGATTTTAAGATGATTTCATATAAATATTATTAATCCAGTGTTTTCTCTAGAATTTTCACATCTAGATAATATAGATTTGACCAGATATCAAATGTCAACAACATTAATTAGAAAGAATGATGTCACAGTGGAAAAGGCACAGAACTGTAAGTCAGAGGTCATGAGTTTAAATCCCAGCCTTACTCGTTACCAGATTTGTGTCCAGATTTCTTCCCCTAAGTCTTAGTTCACTGATCTGTAAAATAAAGGTAATAAAAGAAAATACCTACCGTAACAAACACTAGGAAGATTTAAAAATATAACAGATATGAAATATGTCGAATGGAAACCCTCAAGGTGTTTTCTCGTTAGACATCTACCCATATAACTGAGTGTCCACTGACCAATGAGCCCTGTACTACCAAGGCCCAGGAAGGCCAATGCGAGGTCACTTCTCTCCAGAACAGTAAATCTAACAAAAATAGAGAAATAAAAATAAAAAACAGACTCTCCTGTTTCTAGCAACATGATAGACCAGGAAACTTTACTAACCCTCCTGCTGAAAACAACAACATATTGAATAAAATACTTTAAAACATTCTCTTAAATGCATTCATACATTGCTAAGAAAGCATGGAATATTCAAGACAAAAATTAGAGGAAGACAGGAATAGACAAAGTCAACTGAGCTCACTAAAGCTGATTATCACCTTGAAGGCATCTGCCAAACTGGATAAATTCAATTATCAATTGCTTGGCTTTGCAGGCCTCTGGGACTAGCAGACAAAGAACACTTACCCACCTGAAGGGAATATAGAGACCCTAGAAAAGCTGTTTACCCAAAAAGTTAGAAGCCTCAGCATGAGGGTAAACTGGAAATGAGCTGCCGTCTTCCAAAAGGCCTATTTAAGGGGGTGGGGGAGGCAAAGGGCCTCCGTAAGGCATGGCACTGAAGAGAAAGAAAAATATCTCCCCGAGAATTGAAAGCCACAAACCAGCCCTTACCTGGATAATTATGACTTAAAATACTACTTGATTGTTCTGAACAACCTCAGGCTCAGAATTTATTTTAAGTTCAAGGACTGGAAGTGGCACTTGGCAAATGATAGAAGTAAATGCAATCTTCTCTGGAGAAAACTAACTTTATCCTAGACCTCAATGATTTTCCACAGATACAATTCTGAGGAAAACAAGCAGCTTTCACACACACACAGTGTCTCTCTCTCACACACTCACATCCACAACAAACAAGGAAATAAAACATCATAAAATTGGCAAAACCAGCCGATTTTAAAAAGAACCAAACAGAATGTCCATAAATGAGATGTAACCAGAAATTTAAAAAAAAAAATCCAATGGGTAGATTTAACAGCAGATTAGATACACTAAAGACAAATGAGTGAACTGGAGGGCGGGGGAGGAGAAATTACCCAGACCACAGAGGAGGGTAAAAGCAACAGGGCACATGAAAAAGAGACTCGGAGGATGGACAGAGTCAGAAGCTCTAATAAAATCTGATTGGAGTTCCACAAGAAGTGACAAGCTTGAGGCTAGGCAATATTCCCAGCAATTTCTCTTGAAACTTTCTAAAACTAAAAAGGATACTAACCTAAATATCCAAGAAGCCAAATCAATCCCAAACAGGATTACTAAAAATGGATCCACACACTGAAATATCATAGAGGACTTATATAACAACAACAACAAAAAAAGAGGGGATATTTTCAAAGCACTCAGAAAGAAGAGGAAGATTATCTTCAAAGAAGCAAGAATAAGAGGGGAAAATGATTCTTCAAAAGCAATAACAAAGCCAAATTGTTCATTAATATAATGGCTAAAGACAGTAAAATAGTACCTACAATGTGCTAATGCTAAGATACCACAGAATTCTATATAAAGACACATCTTTTGAGAATGAGGATACAATAAAATTTAAGATAAGAACTCACAAAATATGTCGCTTGCTGACTGTGAGTAAAGGAAATTTTAAAGGCTGTAGGAAAACGATCCTTCCAAAGAAGATGAGACACACAAAGGTATATGAAGAACAAAGGTACGAACAGGTAGCTACGTTAACAAAACGCTGACTGTACTCGTCTAAGACAACAACAATGCCCTGTGGGGTTAAAGTTTTTAAATAGGAAATTAAAAGACATTATAATGATAGCATACAAATTTAGAGAGATTAAAAGTAAAGTGTTTAAGGTGAACAGAGACATTAAAGAACTTCAGACGGTGACAAGTTGGATATACACATTAAAATTGCTGAGGTTACCACTAGAAGAGTGACAAAAATCTAAACCAAGAAAGGAGAGAGAAAGAAACAAAGGCAAGTCAAAAGCACAAAACAGGACAAGGGGAAAAAATTAAAATATATTAGTATTTATCATATTGTTATGTGAAATAAATTTTCCAGTTCAGTAGCACACATACTTAGGGTGGATAAAAATTAAAAGGCCAGCTATATTCTGCTAATAAGATACATGTTAAGATGTAATGATACCAAAAGCTGAAAATAAGAGGATAGCGGAAAAGAACCGTATCTGTCAGGGAAGAAACCTGGTAGGTTCTATTTCATATCAAATAACAGAGACCTCAGGGCAAAAAGAAGATCCATTCAAAAGAATGAAAAATTTTATTCATCAAGAAGACATAATAATTCTAAACATTTTAAGATAACCTCAAAATCTATAAAGCAAAAACTGATAAAACCACAATGAGAAATTACCAAATCTACCGTAGTAGATTTTAACGTGCCTCTCTCAGTAACTCAGACATCAAGCAGTTAACACGTTAGTAGAACTGAAATCTTTGCAGGTAAAATGACTTGATACTGGGATTTGCTTAAAATACTTTCTAAAAAAAGGAAGAAAGGAAGAAAAGATGAAATAAAACTGAACTTTCTGAAGATGAATATATAGGAAGGGATCCACTTCATGTTTTTCTCCTTTTCTATGTGTTTGAAGATTTCCTTAATTCTTGATTAACTAAAGGTATAAATGTAAAAGGCAAAACTATACAGATCTAGAGATTAAACACAAGAGACTGATAAGTGACTTTGAAATAAAGAATGCCCGATAAAGAGAATAGAAAGACAAACTACAAAGACAATCACATATAACCAACATAGAACACAGTAGAATATTTGGAATACATAAATAATATAAATCAATTTTTAAAAAGATATATAATCATGGCTCGGCGCCTGTAACTACGTGGTTAAGGCGCCAGCCACATACACCAGGGCTGGAGGGTTCGAACCTGGCCCAGGCCTGCTAAAACAACAATGACACCTGCAACAAAAAAAAATAGAAGGGCATTGTGGTTGGCACCTGTAGTCCCAGCTACGTGGGAGGCTGAGGCAAGAGAATCGCTTAAGCCTAAGAGTTTGAAGTTGCTGTGAGCTGTGATACCACAGCACTCTACCAAGGGCAACACAGTAAAACTCTGTCTCAAAAAATAAATAATAGATAGATAGATAATCAATGGGAAGGTATAAAGAAATAATAGAAATAAAAGAGGAAGCATGTATGAACAATATACATGAGAAGATTCAGCCCCACTAATGATCAAGAAAATGAAAACTAAAATCACAAGGAGATACCACCTGTACTCACTAAATTGCCAAACATTGAGGACAAAAGACATTACCAAGAACTGTAAGGATGAGGAGCAAAGGGAAACCTCATCCTCTACTGGTGGGTGAGCTCACGAGTCAGCAGAGGACCTGGAGAAAACA